TACCCTAACACAAACCCCTAACTATAACTCCTAATCTTAAACCCTAGCCCCTTACCCTAACCCCTAACCCTGACCCCTAACTCTAACCTATAACCATAACCCCCAACCCTTAACCCGAACCCCAACAGTATTGTGCCCATCAGGTGGGGCTACCAGACCACATGTTACCGAAACCGGTTTAAAGTAATCACGATAAGTCAGTTCGGATAGATCCAGCCATTCGAATAGGCTGGCCTAAAACTAAGAGGACTCACTTCTGTAGATATCCCAAAGCTGTCCAAGGTCGTAAACTGTCGGTTTAATATTTTGTTTTAATTTAGCGAAATGGCATTAGCGTCCCTTTATCCATGCTGGAGTGCCAAACTATGCAGCAGTGACCTTGGGGAATAAAATCTTCAGAGTAATTTTGGAGAAAATTACGCTCATCCCTCGCGACCTTATTCGACTATTTTCAGCGATTTTACTCTTTATGATAGTGTCTGGCAAGCGATTTACCTAGGGCCGTCGCATAAGCAAAGTCCTTCGACGAGGCGGTCAAACAGATAGGGAGATGCACTAGGCACCAGAATCATAAGACCACCAGTATTCCAGATAAAATTTCGACAGTTTTGCGTAAATCGATTCCGTCTTTTTGCATGAGAAAGAGAGAGGGAGAGAGAGACAGGAAAAGAGAGTGAAAACTAAGAAAGTGGTTTAATATAACTTCATGGTCAAAAATGTCTGTCCCACAGTTATAAGACCATTTTAATTTTGGCATCACTGCTTGAACGTAAAAGATATACCGACGTTACACTGCCTCCGAGTTTCAACACAGCGTCTATTTATGCTATCAACAGGCGTTTCATGTCATCAGTTTTTTCGGGTATTCCATGCTTGCTGAACAGTCTCCAATAGTTGATCCATACACTGTTAGGCCCGGTCCTTGCGATATGAACGTCTGGAAAACAGTATTCATGGATTCTTAGTTTGGCTGAGGCTGGAACTCAGAGGTAGTCAGGTTGTTTCCTCAGCTCGACCCCTTTTTGGTCACTGATGCGTCTTATGTATGCCGCATTGGTCTTGTAGAAATGTTAAACTCCCATTTCTGCATTGGCCCACAAAGGATTAGTTGTTCAGTTGTCACTGTCTGAGTGAATGGCTGAGCATTCTGCTTTCCCGGAAAAAAACCAGTTCGTACTTATGACGTGGAACAAAAGACTTTTCTAATCATCACGCTGACATATTCACATGATCCGCTACTGTAGGTAACGGATCCTTTGCGGAAATTATACGAGTAATTGTTTCAACCGTCCGGACCATCCAAAGTGAATTTCTTTCCTTAAAAGAAGACCATCCTCTGCCACTGATCCGCCCAGGTGACGTAGTGCTCAGCCCAAAGCACATGTTGTTCCTTGTGGGGTGTTGTCGGGGGTGGAATTCGTCGAGACCTCCCTCTGATAAACGAATGAAAAGGAACAGTTTATGACCCAGTGCATTATGGCCTTCGAAATTTGCAGCACCGTATCTCGCTCGGTAGTGCTGATGCTGCTGCTTCTCTCAAACATCTCATGCGAGTTGTTGGTCCTCCTCCTCCT